TATTGAACAATCCTCGTATGTAATAGTAAAAAACATTGCTAATTTATGACTACTGATCCATCAGTAGCTTTCCAAAGGTCAAAACCTTGTACTATCACTTTCTGTTGTGGAGTTTGGGCCCTTGTTATACCTACTATCAATTAATTATAGCAATTATTTAATATTAGTGCATCATCTACCGCTAAACTGATACATTAAAAAGTTTGTTTAATGATTTCAGAATCCTTAAATTTTACGTGGAACTTTTTAGATTACTCATAACTGCATTTTAATTTTATTACAACCACTTGAGATAACTAGTTAGATATTTAATAATTATTAAATATTTGAGATTTTAAACAATAATTTTTTATCTACTTATATATTTATAGAAAATGCATATCAGTATTGTATTATTTTAATTTTATTTATCTTTTTGGATTCCTACTACGTATTTATAATTGAATAACAAATTTATTCTAATTCAGTTGATGCAATTTCAGGTAGACTTGAACTCTGAAAATAAAAAACTAGCTGAAAATCAAGTTCGGTGTATTCTTCCGTCTTATTTTTGAATTTGGTTCAGTTATATAATAAAAATATCCCCAACATGAATAAAACGACCTTGTCTGAGGATGTATAATTCATCAGAAAAATGAAATAGTGCTGGCTGTATGCAAGGTGGCACGTTCATGGAAAATCAAGCAATGTTATATTTCATCACTGTCATCTTATAGTAAATGAAGACAAACTTTGTAACCCTTTAAAAATGTGCACTGTATTATGTTTCATTAAAAAACTGTACTCTTTCTTCAATTATAAAAAGTACCCGGTACTACAGTACAATTTATCAGTACCCGGCCCAGCTCTCGTAATAGATACCAACTCCACAGTTGTATTGATTATATTGATTGATTATATATTGAATATACTGTATGTTAAAATGTCATAAAAGTCAGCATATCATAGTCTACATACAGTCTACAATTATAATACTTAATATTTTTTAATTGGTGAATTATACTTTTTATACATGACAGTAACGTTTATTTATGTAAATAGTTTCTTGTTTAGTTCGTGTTAACAAAGACATTACAATTGTACTAAAAAAACATTAATTTATATTGACATTTATTTGAACATAACGATATCTCAACTAGAACTTCACTTAAACGGCAAAACTTAGTATTTCATACTGTATAGTACAGTGTTTCTCAAACTTTTTTTGGCAATGAAACCCTTTTGAAATGCGAAATATTTGACAGAGCCCTAAAATATATTTTTTAAACTTTAAATGCAAAACCGGGGCACGCAAAATCAAATCCTTTCTTAGTGAAATCTAAAAAAAAAGATCCTCAAACCTGGTCCTCCCTCCTCATAGTACTCCTTTAGTATATTTTTTATTATGACTATTATTTCCGCGGAGCCCCCACGGAGGCTTTGCGGAGCCCCAGGGCTCCTCGTAGCACACTTTGAGAAACACTGGTCTAGTAAATGTACTTACTCTGTATATATTTGCGGCCGGTAAATCTAATATTACTCTGATACCGTAATGTGTTGCTTAGCAACACTACCATGTTATTGTTATTAGAGGGCAGTTTTAATTTTTGACATTTTCTCACTTCTAATCTAAGAAAAAAATATTTAAATACACATTTTTAGCACCTATTTAAATGGAAAGTTTATTTTTAAATTAAATACAACAGTTATTTTTTACTACTTTCAAATGGTCTTCAAATTCTTTCAGAACTTTCTCCTTAATAATTAATAATATGTGAAATGGAATTCGTAGATGAGCAAATATTTGTTTTATATAATACAAATAATACAGTTGAGATTCGATTTTTCTTTTTGTTAGGAAGTAGGAACTGAAATTTGACAGAAAGCTCTAAAAAAGCCTCTTTAATTTTTCGGAACATTTTATCATCCCCTTCTAAACTACATTTCCAAAGTAAGTCAGTTAAGTAAATGATGATTATTAATATCACTAAAATTCTATGTAAAACGTACAAACTAAGGATACTTTTTTTTTGGCAGATTGATAAGAATCAAGGATATAAATAATATCTAATAATAAATATCTAAGAAATAAATGAGAATAAAGTCATTGTCATACTATAAAAAGGCCATTTGATTTACAGGTGAGGAAAACCCCTCCCACCATCATCGAAACGGTAACACATGGCGATTTTTATAATCTGAATGTCATATCAACAGAAATTAAATTTTTGCTAATACGACATCCATCAAATTCTATAGAGAACCATGCAATTAGATACACACGGTCTTCTGTAGGACTCGAAGCCGGGTGTCTCTCTACCACAAAATTGCTCCCAAATGAATGTGAGCGTCTTAGACACCTACAATACCGTCCCCCATTGCCTTAAACACCTACGCCACCGCCCCCCATTGCCTTAAACATAGAATATGATACCCACGAGGAATTTCCATTCGTTTTTTTATTCAATATTATTCCCATAAGAATAAAACATTTCTGTAGATTATACTTAGATTAGATTTCAAAGGAGTTGGAAATTATTTGTTCTTGTCTTCTGCGACCTCTGATCTATTGTAGGACTCCGTTATTTAAAGTATGTCATCTAACTTGGTCTTTTTTATTAGACTTATTAGCTTTGACAGTGACTTTCGCATGTGGTTACGTGCTTCTATCTTTTCTTCACCTAGTATTAGAAAACTCAATATAGCCAGAGCTTTACACTGGCACAGGACGTGGATTAATTTTTCTTCTTCTTCTTCTTCTTCTTCTTCTTCTTCTTCTTCTTCTTCTTCTTCTTCACAAAACCTGTACAGTTTTGCTTCTTCTGCTATATTGTTGAGACTCTTGTGCTTTTTTTGGCGACAGTGTGCAGTAAGAAAACCTACTGTTATCCAAGGACTTTCGTGAACCAGACCGACAGTTCCTTAATGAACTCTTTGGTATATCTCAGTCCTAGATAGTTGTTCCACTATTCCCTAAAACACTTTTTGCACGATGCCTTATCAACTCTAAGGATTCAGGACCTGTCATGGCCTTATTTGAGCTTTCTCAGGCTAATGTGTCGGCCTTTTCATTGCTCTGATATCCTTCGTGGCCTAGTACGCATGTTAAGGTCACTTTATTTTGACTACTTAGTTCTGTCAGGTCTTTTAGGCAGTCTCACCAATCGTGACTTATGGTGAGGTAATTGCCTTTGGACCTGATTGGCTATCAGAGTAGATGGCAATAGTTTTGCCAGATACTTGCTGATTTTTTATTTCTCTTACACAGTGTTGTATGGCTATTAATTCGGTCTGGAAGACTGTTGCGTATTCTCCTAGACTCAGCAAAATCGTTGTTTTGGACTTGGTTTCATAGATTCCAGCATTATCCTGTGAATGACAGCTCTGTTGGTGCAGTTTACTCTCGCCAATGCGTCCACATAGGTTATCATGTGTCTTATCTCCCTTGTATATAAAAAAAATTCGCCATACATTACCGTCTCGATGATGGTGGGTGAGGTTTTCCGGGTTTTCCTCACCTGTAAGTCAAATGGCACCATCAATCATCTTTAAGTCGCCCCGGAGCGCCACGGCAAATAATAATAATAGCCGTCCCTTCCCCTACACAAGTCGTTCAGTCGACTTCAGGGGTTGAAATTCACTCGTAAGGGGGTGAATTAGGGAGAGTATTATTATATTATTATTATTATTATTATTATTATATGGTCATTTTGGGACAGAGGCCCCAGTTTTTTCGCTTATTCTTCTACAGCTTACGAGAGATATTGTAACTTTGCAAATCCTAGGCACTGGTAGCCTTCTTTGGACCACTAGAACTGAACACAGTATTGGAGATAGTAATCCTCCTTGTGGGCAGCCCTGTGTAACTTTTGCCTGTGTGATTGCCTTTCCTAGAGTTGATAAAATGGTTATACTTTATCTAGAAAATAAGCTAAGATAACATCTTTCTTCACTTTATGTATTTGTTTCCGTTGATATCTATTTTTTGATTTTTCGGGACTAATAATTTTTCTGTTGTTTCCGCAGATTTATTTAAAATTTCCATAATATACAATGCAACAAATATGGTTTTATTTATTTGACAGTAACAAGACAATAATTGGCTATAAAAAAATGAGTATCACATCATAAGGTGATGCGATTATTAGATTGGGAACTAATATGTCTTAAATTTTAATAATTATAACTTTATTTTAATAAGTTAATATGAAAATATTTTACATTTCCGTTAGGTCTTATTACAGTACTCGTTTATATTCCGGACTCGGCTCCTACGTAAAACCACTCGTACTGTAGGTAATAAGTCATCTACTTAAAAGTTTAGTATTTCTGCATTGAAAATAATTTATTATCACTTTTTCACCTATATCTATTCCGTTTTAATTGAATTCAAATTACGACATGTATGAGTTTATGTATAGCAAATGTCTAGCTGTTTTTTTCTAATTTTCATTATTGTCTTTTATGTATACATTTTCATAGATTTGAATATTTGAAGAAATTGGCGTTTTAAAATACGACAGAATGTCACATAATGTTATTCAAAATTAAACGTTTTAAAATAGTTAATTAATTAAACCTATTGAGACATGCTTCGCCAATTTACGACAGTTGTGTATTTTAAAATAATTCTACTCAAAGGAGTTGAAAAATAAATTATCATTGAGCTCCGCGAATATATCTTGTTTAATAATGCCTTTAAGTTTAATTGCTTCAACAACTTCTCACCCTAACAACTCTACAACAACTTTACCAATATTTATTTAGACCACTATTAACTCTTTAAGACATGTTCATGCATAACCATGTATTGGAATTCCTTCCTATGTATTTCTATCCATCTAATTTCCTGAAGGTACACAGATTCGAAAAGAAATTTTCTACAGTATACACCGGTACTCAAAGAGTAAAAGAGAACTCAAAAGCAATATGACCAGACAACTAAAAGAGAGCTCACTATCAATCGAAAACGACCGAATCTGTATAAGACACAACTAAGAGTATGTTCTTTTTTGTTTTAGAGAGATTCTTGGTGGTCAACTAGGATCGGCAATTTTAAAAGATGGCAATCCTTTGACGTTACATTATGTTATGTTTATACCAACCTTAATGGGACAAGGTACAGTTAACCAACAAGCAGAATGGATTCAGAGAGCATGGGGTTGCGATATCATCGGTACATATGCACAAGTCAGTATATTTTGTTTTAACATCATCATCAGGCCTTTTCCCTTTTCTCCTCAACATATTTTATCCTACCTTTCACCATAAATGTGTACAGTTTTATTTTTTTTTATCCAATTTCATTATTTGAAATGTAATAATATATTCTTTATTTTATTGTAGACTGAATTAGGACATGGTACTTTCATTAGAGGTCTAGAAACTATTGCTTCTTACGATCCACAAACAGAGGAATTTATTTTACATAGTCCAACTATAACTTCTTACAAATGGTGGCCCGGTGGATGTAAGTTATTGTTCTTTTATTTAAATAATATTAATATTTTTTTTCAAATGAAATTATACATTACTTATATAATAATAAAAAAAAAACAAATAATTTTAATGTTAACTCAGGAACAACTGAATTTATTTGCTTTGTGACAAGAACAATACTGTTTAAATGTAGATTCAATTCGTTTACATTTTTTTTAGTGGGTCATTCAGCAAACTATGCCGTTGTCGTAGCCCAATTGCATACTCAAGGAAAAAACCACGGGATCCATCCATTTATAGTTCAATTAAGAGACGAAGAGACTCATATGCCTCTTCCCGGAATCAAAATAGGAGAGATAGGTAGTAAATTAGGCATGAACAGTACTAATAATGGTTACTTAGGTTTTGAAAAAGTGAGAATTCCTAGAACCAATATGTTAATGAAAAATAGTCAAGTATTACCTGTAAGTATAAGTCATTTAAAATTAATCGAATCTATGCTCTTAAATTGATGTCTGATTATAATTGTTTTTAGGATGGTACCTATGTTAAATCACCAAGCAGTAAACTAACATACGGAACTATGATTTTTGTGAGAGTGGTACTTGTACAAGATGCAGCAACTTATATGAAAAAGGCATGCACAATTGCAACACGGTACAGTGCTGTTAGACACCAGTCCCAAATTAAAGTAAAGTAAGTCAGTTTTAAAATGTACTAAAGTGAAATATATTCAATTTACATTGTTGTGTCCATTTACAATAGAAATTTTACTTCTAATCCTCGCAACATTATCTTTTTTGCTTTAATACTTGAAAGATTTGTGAACCTTCAAACTGTAAATGTATTTTAGTGAACCTGAACCACAAATCATGGATTTCCTAACGCAGCAACATAAACTCTTTCCAAATATTGCTGGATGTTTTGCCTTTCAATATGCTGCAAATTGGCTTTGGGAGACATACAACAATGTGACAGGTGAATTAGAATCTGGTCAACTTGAGAACCTTCCAGAAGTAAGTGCTTCAAGGCGAGAGTGTATTAATACACTGTTCAAAATATTTAGTAATAACTTTTAACTATTTACATATATTATTTCAATAAATAGGTTTACTTACAAGTATTAATTTGTAGTTACACGCAGCTGCTTGTGTACTGAAGGCTGTGTCTACGGCTGACGCTGCTCAAGGAGTTGAGACCCTAAGGTTATCATGTGGGGGTCATGGTTACATGACGTCTTCTAATTTACCCTCAACTTATGGCTTGGTTACAGCTATGTGTACGTATGAAGGTGAAAATACTGTACTGTTGCTCCAAACGGCGAGATTCCTCTTAAAGGTTTGGCAAAACAAACAGAATCTGCAAAAGTTGCCGACCGTTAGTTATTTGGAAAATGCTTTCCGAAATAATTCATCATTCCAAAAGTCAGTTCAATGGATTATTGGGGCTTTGCAAAAAACTACTGTAGGGTAAGTAAAGTATTCTCATGAATGTATGATGAAAGAGAAGAGCATCCAAATGGTGGCACAACAGGCCATCTGCGCTCCAGTGCCGCCATGCTAAAGATAAGGGAAAGCAGACTGGACCCCAAGCCTAATTGGGGAGAGTCTGTCCGAATTTCTTAGTATGGGAGCAGAGGGATTTCTGATTTTTGTCACATCAGCATCATCAGTCACCAAAGTTTGTATTTGTATTTTTTCAGGAAAATTGATTTAGCCAATAAACACATAAATGATCGAGTCAGAAACGGCATGGCGTACGAAGATGCCTGGAATAGCACATCGATTGAGTTAGTAGGATTAGCAGAATTACATGGCCGTGTGATTATAGTGGAAACTTTCCGAATTTCGGTAGAAAAGTGTAGAAATCAAGTATCTAGGGAACTATTTGCTGTACTAGAACAACTTCTTCAACTCTATGCAGTGAATACTGCTCTTAGATGCTGTGGGGATCTATTAAAGGTAAATGGTGGTTGTATTAAAAAATATATGGTTTTATCGGTCACAAACAATGTTTCTTTTACAAAACACTACATGTTCCTTTTGTAGTCAAATTTATTAAAAAAAAAACATCAAAGGGTATTTTTTTTTGGTTTCACATCATATGTATAGATGTGACTTATTTTGAATTTTGAAATAAAATGATTGAATATAGTTAATAATCAAGCTGGTTGTGGGAACATGAGGAACATGTAAAAAAATAATTTCATCAAACTTAAACATTTATAGGACTAATGTTTGAATAATAATAATAATAATAATAATAATAATAATAATAATACAGAATTCTAATATAACAGCTGCATTGACAATGGTGGATTATTCGTCAGTTAGTATAAACCTGTAATAAACAGTGAGAATACAAACTTATTTCATAAATCATGAAACTTATACAGCGTGTTTATAATATCATTAAAATGATGAAAATAACAATCAGCTGTGCTTGTAGTGGAAGTAAGACCGTCATCTGGGGCCAGGTATCAAGCACGCATGGGATTTCAGCCTCTCATAATTTAATTAACTAACTGACCATCTTTCCCCATTATATTGTCAGCTTTAATTAATAATTTAAACTATTGAATATAAAAATTCTATTATAAAATTATTTTGACCAATGTTTCGCGGCTTTAATATTTTTACTTCCCACTTTCAGCTAAAATTAGTTATGGAGACACAGTTGCCATGGAATGCTTGTAATTGTAAAGACTAATCGGTCATGTTGCATAATACAGGGTATCCCAATGAAAAGTAGCCCATTTCCAGTGCTTATAACTTTTAAACAAATCGTAGAAACGTGCAGTTTTTTGCTGATATGTGTTATTTTGCTATGTTTTGCTTCAGTGACACAAAAATTATGTATAACCTATACAGGGTGTTTTTTAAAAATCTCCTCTTTTAAATTCACTGTAACCAAATTTTATCAAATAGAAACGGGCTACTTTTCATTGGGACACCCTGTATAATATTTCTGAATTATAGCTCCAATAGATATTCATTTTTTATACAGGAAAAATCATATGTCATAGTGTGGACCGACGCTTATAGGACGCCCCATCCTGTATGTGTTAAAAATGGCTTTATATTCATTCTAATGTCACTATGTCACTAGGGTAGTAATAAATATGATTTTATATGTTTGTCCATTACCTTGGTGTCGGGCCATTGGACTTGGTCCTTTGGAGGGCATACATAGGGCCAAGTAGCCAACACGTAGAGACCCTTTATAATTATTTGTGTATTACTAAGAAATAATAATTACTATTATTTGCTTGTACTAAGCAATACAATAATAATATAAGCACTGGATTTAGGATGATATAACTCTGAAGGGACAAGTAGTTGTGATGAGTCGTAATGAAAACAAATATTCTCCATAAAAAGATATTTCAATTGGTATATAACTTATCTTTATTGGGGGTGGGGCAATTTACCATACATTTCTACTCATTTTCCTTTGTTCCGACATATAATTCGGTGCTTTAATTTTTTTATATTTTGGTTATATTTTCTTTCATGTTTAGTTATTTTATAAGATAAAATATATATAAAATGATAATTCATTAATATTTATGTATGAAGAGATGTTTTCAGTCGCCACAACAATCAATAGACATTTATTATTCATCAGTTTGCTCTTCCTCTTATCGTTTTATATATAATTTTTTTCCTATAAAATATAAATATAAAAAAAATTAAAGCCCTGAAATATTGGACAGAACAAATTTATAATAGCTATATTTGCGGGATGAGCAGAGCGAGGTCTGCAACATGAACGAGTTACACAAAACGTCATTTCGTAACGTGTTATATACAATATTTTTTCTAATTTTGACTAGATTATTTATAAAATTGTATTTTGGTAAAACATTACTGACATCTATGCAACCAATATTACTTTCTTGTATTGTTAATTGCATATTATTCATAACTTCATTTATTTTATTGAGAAACAGAAAAACATATTAATTTATTTGAACTCGTCAATTGCAGGACCTTTCATAGCGATGGCGGGAGTACCGCAGGGCTCAGTACTGTCGCCCCACCTGTATACCATTATGACCTGTGACATTCTCATGGGTGATAATGGGGTACAGACGGCGCTGTATGTTTTCTCAAGCCTCAAATCCGCCTAAACAGCGAACAGAAAGCTGGATGCCCATATAAATGGACCCTTGATGAACTATCTAGCTGAAAACAAGATGAATATCAACTCTGCAAAAACAGAATCTTTATTACTCACAAAAAGAAGGACTGAAGGGATAGACACTTGTAATTATTTAAAATCAGGAGATTCCTGTAAAAACACAGATAAAATTTGGTTTTCAGTTAGATAAGGGCATCACTTTTATAGCACACATTAAAGATAGAGTTAACAAAAGCACAGTGGTATTAAAAGTACTCTACCCCATAATAAACAGAAGATCACGCTTATCACTCGAAAACAAGCTCCTGTTATATAAAACAATATTCAGGTCCATTCTAACATATGGATATGGATATAAATTAGTCACATTTGAAAAAGAAGTACTTCGAAACATATGTCATGTTAGTGTTTTTAAAAATTTTTATTAAAAGTGTGAAAATCTACCAAATTTGGTTTTACTCTTTCAAGATATGGATGTCCATTTTTTTGTTCAATGTCTAACATATATTACATCAGATTACAAACGGCGCAAAACAGATGTCTGAGGCTAGTTCTCGGGTACGACCATTACGCTAGAATACGTGACATACACACAATCACAAATATACCTTACATAAAAGACTTCATAACAGACATAGCTGAAAACTTCTATGCGTGATGCCTCCCTGATGAATTAAGGGATAGCATCATAAACATCCATCAGGGGGACAACGGGCGTAAAAAAACACGGATGCCTACACAAAAATCTCAGTATTTACAGACGACAGTAACATAACGCTCCACAAGATATTTCACGTTAGTCCCCTATTTAGACAGTAACAAGATGGAAATTAACCCAGCCAAAACAGAAACCGCCCTTCTCTCACAAAGAAAAGCTGACGGTATAAAAAGAAACATCAGAGTGCAAAACATAAAAATCAAGCCTAAAGGTGCAATCAAATATCTTGGTGTCTGTCTGGATAGGCGACTGACGTTCAAAAAACATATTCAAGACAGAATTTCTAAAGCTACGGGGATGATAAAACTTTTATACCCTATGTTAAGTCGTAATAGTAAAGTTTCAAGGGCTAATAAACAGCTCCTATTTAAACTACAAATCTGCCAAAACAGGTGTCTTAGGCTAATCCTGGGATGTACAATGTACACCAGAATTACTGAAATGCATGAACGCACATTCTTCCTATTAAACAATTTACATAGATTTTCTACTGGACCACGAACATACCATGACAACCCTGTTTTTTCCTAGCTTTTTCAGAGGACTTGACTGCAACTAAGACATGACAAACCTAATTAATTCTGACAATTATCGATTACAGACACACAAAACCCCTTAATTATGACCATATTTTAGGCGAAGTTGCTCATTTTTGCCTGGGTAGACCGCTACTTTAGGTGAAACTTTGTACCTGTAATTTATGTCGATTTGTATATTTTAAATTTTAAAAAAGGTGAATAAATGTTTTTAATTAAAAAATATTAATTTATTTTCAACAACTTGTTGTAGTGTTAGAGATTGTCCATTGGGTAACCAAACAGTATGGAGTTGTTACTATGCATCACATTGTTACGAGGTTATTGTAGTTTATAATACTAAAATGCTGTTGATAAATGACTTTGTTAAGACTGGTTACAAATGACAAATATACTATTTTTATTATTTGTTACAGTACACAGATATGCAAGGCAAGGACGTTGAAGTGCTGCAAGCTTGGTTGGAAGAATTGCTTAATCAGCTGAGGCCGAACGCTGTGGGCATTGTCGATGCCTTTGACTTCCGAGATGAAGTTATATCCTCTGCTCTCGGTTCCTACGACGGCAATGTTTACGAAAGATTACTAGAAGAAGCACAAAAGAGTCCGTTGAATGCGGAGCCAGTAAATAAATCTTTTAAATCATATTTAAAACCCTTCATGAAATCGCAATTGTAAAAAGAATTGACTAATTGAAGATTAGGGACCAACTTTCTTTCACTGTGTTAAAGTGTTTTTATTAATTTACGCATTCCTCCATAAATAAAATATTTATGATTTCTGTTATAGCCGTCCTACTTATATTAATTATTGGTGGTAGATAAAATTATGATAAATGTCTAAAATATCAGTACATGGTTGATGCGTCTGTTTATATAGAAGATAAATGTTAAATCCATCCTTATTTATAAGCTCTCTCTAGTTTTGAAGCGGTATATGAATTTTTCGCAAGTTCTATAAGAATTTAACAATTATTTAAAGCCAAACTTCACTATTTAATATTGAACTTCTGTTTTATTTTCGGATCAGAACAATGGGGCAAAATAACACTTTTTTATAGAAAATAATGTTTCATAATTACTAGTAAAGGTATAAATATTTTATTTTTTGTATTGTGCATATTTTCCATTCAGAAAATGTTATGTTTGCCACAAATATTTGTATACTTACTTAAATTTATATGTATATTGATTTTATGAGAAATGTATTTTATACAAATTGTTATTTTTAAATAAATCGTTGCAGTATCTAAGCCTGATGTTTTATTTATCGCCATGTAACGCAGAGATCTTCAAAAATATTTTCAACAAAAACCGAGACAAAAACATTTTTACTCCGATTTTGATGAAATTGGCCTTTTTTAAAATACCTATTCGCTCTTTTGTTATCCTGATTTTATCAACGAAATTGCAACTTTGGTGCTTGGATTTCTGTAACAGGATAACAGAAGAGCGAGTAGGTATAGGAGGTTTAAAAAAAAAGAAAATTGTTAAATATTTACATTTTATATCTTTTTTAATATTCGATTTTTGCATCACAATTGTAGAAGAAAGAGAAGGTACAGCAGGGATAGAAAAACATCTCCGATTTGGATGAAAATCACTGAATTAATACTAGGAGACATGTGCGTTTTAAAAAACCAAACTATAGTCTATCTTTGGTAATTTCAAAGAAGTGAACCTCTAGTTTTAAACGATTTTTCTTAGACAGGAACTGATTTTTTATTTTGAAATCAAGACGTTGGATTCTATGCGTTTGCCAAATTTCAGATCAATCTAAGACTAACAATTTTACGGTTTTTCGTTTTCCTCAGTTATTCATTATCGAATTAACTTTCTAAATGATTAGAGGCCTCTTTGCCGCTTGTCTCAATCTTGAGCGGTTTAAGAGTTATTCAGTAAAGTAAATATCTGGTAAATTAAAAGACAGCAAAATGATATGGTTCTTAATTCGGTCGTTACCCAATAAACATTTTATCGGTGCCGTAAATCGGCCCGATATACGGGTGAGGCTTCGGCATACAGGTAGGGCATGGCCGCCCAGCCGAATGTCGGTAGCCCACTAAAATGTAGCCGCGTTCATATATCTATATATAATTCGGCCCGTAAGGATACCTCCCATGCCCGACTAGCCAAATATTAACCGCGTTCGGCCCGTAAGGATGCTTCCCATGTCTGGAACGCGAAATATGGACCATATGCGGTTTCTACTTCTAAATTATGTCAAATGGTATGGTTCTTCTAGCTCAGAAGAAACGCCGACAACGGCAATCTGAGTACTCTGCTTCCCGTACATGACGGTGTCAGGCTGAGCGAATGCCGACTATTTGTGGTTAACTGGGAAATATATTCTTAATAATATTCAGTCCGTGTCCGTTTTTTTTTTAATTGTTTGATGAGCATTTATTTACATGGGCGGATGGGACCTCTCAGACCGGCGCGGGAAGTCAATTGAAACGGCCCTGCGCCGATCCGACAAATTATGTTACAATAGATTATATTTAATTAGGACTGTGGGCCATTGGCCTCCCCCATCTCGGCCATTTCAAATCTATTGTGGACATCCTTTAATCGTTGTTTACAATTCGGTCTTTTGTAGTAGACTCCATGACTAGGAAGTAGTTCTGCGGCGTAGCTGATTGCCCTTGGTTTTTCTTCTCAAAGTGTAAGGAATCTCAGTTCTGATAGACCTTCACAGAATCACAATAAGTGTTTTGCAGTTTCCTCCTCTTCCTGATAGAATCTGCATAAGGTCTCGTCTGCCAGACCGATATTATACATATATTTGTTCAGTCTACAATGCCCTGTTAATAGGCCTATTGGTACTCTAGTATTTTTCCCATTATGGCTTAGCAAATGATCGGTGAGTTTAGGCGATGGTCCTTTCAATAATTATTTGTCCTGTCTCTGTCCTGGTGAATATATTTACCACTCCTGAGATTTTTTAAACATCTGCTGCTTTGTGCATGTTCTGATAGCTGTTTTTGTGACACCACAGAAGAATTCTGGGCCAATAAGAGCCTTCGAGATTCCTTCTCGGGCTAGTAAATCAGCCTCTTCGTTGCCCTTATGTGGCCTGGTACCCAGGCTAAAGTTAGTCTGTTCTGACTACCCAGCTCTGTTAGGGCTTCCAAACAGTTCAACACAAGCTTTGAGTGTAACTGCATAGAACTGAGTGCTTTTATAACGTCGTCTAACTGTCTGAGTATATATGACAATGGTTTTTTTCATTTACTTTATGTCTTAATACCTCTTTTGCGCAGTGATGTATTGCTGCTATTTCTGTCTGGAATACTGTCGCATGTTTAACTAATCTCAGTGATATTCTTGTCTTTGGCTTAGTACTATATACAGCTACTCCTGAAACTTCATGAGTCAATCATAACCCCGATATATTTTACCTCCCCCTTAAGCTGGATGCTTGCATCTCTTAGGTTTAGAGGCCCTAGTCCCTCCAATTTTCTCCTTCTCTTTAAGAGCCCTAAGTAGCCCGTCCACTACAAGGTTCCACAGGAGTGGAGACAGCACTCCACCCTGCGGACATCCTCTCGCTACCCGTGCCGCTATTGTCTCTCCCATAAGGGTTGTGTGTATAGTTTTCTCCCTTAACACAGAGTCGATCCAGGACACACATGTGTCCTCGATTTCTCTGTGTTTGAGAGACCTACTGCACCCTCGATATTCAAGAATGCTCCCAGCATTACCTCCTTGTTTTCCACCCTTTTTAGTAATTGATGGAGAGGTGTTTCAGTTGATTTCCCTGCACTATAGGCGTATTGGTCTTGGTATATTGGCCTCTGAACCAATATCCCGTCTCTAATATGCCTATCTAGCAGTTTTTCCAAAGTATTAAGTACAAAGGACATAAGACTTATTGGTCTTAGGGACTTTGCCGTTTCCTGTCTTATTTTCCCAGGTTTTGTTATAAAAGTTACCCTAATATTTCTCCAAGCTTTTGGTATGTGTCCAAAGGCCAGGCTACTTCTGAGTATGTTACAGAGTCTGCTGTATAAAATAACATTATTGGATAAATCCCGTCCATGCCCGGTGATTTATATGGTTTAAATGAGCTAATTGCACATTTCAGTTTATCATAGTTCACCACTTGTTTGGCTATCCTCCAATCTTCCCCGTTGGCTCTATTATGAGCTTCCAGTCCGTTTAGATTCCGGTTAGCCGGTGTGTGTGCTATGGTTTGTGCACCAGGGAAGTGAACCCTGAAGAGTTCCCTTACTGTTTCCTTCCCTGTGATTGTGTACTCCCCCAGTTCATTCTTAAGAGTCTTGCTCATTATCTCAATAATCACAAAATGCTACTTAGATCACTTCTGTTCTTAACTAGCCATTTATGTAGTGGTGTTAGGTTTAGCATGACTTCTAAAGCTACTGTTGGAATCGATTTCAAGGCTCTCGTGGTACTCAGGCATGCTTGTCTTTGAAATACTGATGAGCTGTTGAATAACTCCAGCTTGCCGAGTCTTTGGCCGTTTTACCACCGACCTTAGGCCTTATGACTTTGGTATATAGCCATAGGGACATTTTCGGTTGTAGTTCCCAAATTTTTTACACACAACTTTCGACATAAGAATGGGTGATTGTTGATAGTACTCCTCACTGGAGGACCGGTGCACCGGAAAACTTCCCGGTTTCCCGGTGGGTCCATCCGCCCCTGTTTATTTATTATAACTCCTTTGACAATGAATATATTGACTGAAAATGGCACTCGCGAACATGTGGCTCCATCTATGCGGAAGTGAGTTATTGAACGTCAACGGCGCCTCTTGTAATTTAATTTTAAATTTTATCTACGGGTTTGTCGGGTGTAGATGGTAGTAAGGGAAACAAGTTAAACTGTTTCAAAATTTTATTTATTACATTAAAATATATACATTACAATGTTAGACATATTCCTATAATATATGATGGGGCATTTTTTAATACTTAACACTATACTAATCACAAGCGTACAAAAATAGCCACAATCCTATCTGATGATATGGGGAGAGATAATCCAAGTTTTAATTATGATATGTTCATAAGGATATGTGTAGGGAATTGATGAGTAAATTGCATTATAATTACAAGTGAAATTAAAAATAAATGTATAAAACCATTTATATCGGAGACATGATGAGCAGAATTGGGGCTGTGGTAGCTTTGTAGATCTATGGTTTCTTAAAAAAAAAAAAATGTTATTAAAAACTGTTTTTTTACTATAAAAACGAAAGAAAAAAGTCTGTGTCACAAAAACGTCGAGCGGCCGTTTTTTCCTGAAAACAACTACTCTTTTGGCTAATACCACAACAGGCATTGCATTATATCAAAAAGAAAATAGCGGGGAGAACGTCATTCTTGGACCGGTTTCGTCCTTATAAAGAATCAACAAGTAGTAGATTCTCGATTCCAATCTCTAATGGAATCTGTAGAAGGGTGTGAAGGGTTACACTTCCTCGCTAGTCAAGGCTAGTGGTTGGGTAAGGATCAGAAGTCACAAAGTAATGCCCCATCTACACTCACTCTGTGGTAGCTAGTTCACAGAACAAGGTGGAATAATAACCAGTGTGACAATTTATCAAAGAAAATACATTTCAATTCCCTTTTTAAATTTGAGAATTTGAATTGGTTATTCTTCTGTCTTGTTCTGTGAACTATAGGTACACTGTGAGCATTGATTTTAAGGGTTACTTTATAACTTCTGATCCTCTCACCCAACCACCGGTCAAAACTAGCGAGGAAACATAATTCTTCTACAGGTCCCCTCATTAGAGATTGGAAACGAGAATGTCTATTTCTTTCTGACGAGTCCTAATAAGGATATTATTTTCCTTTAGATATAATGCGAAGCCTGTTGCGGTTTTAGCCAAAGGAGTAACTGTTTTCAAAAGAGAAATTATCGTTCGACGTTTCTGTGACTGTGAGTTTTTCTCTTTTTCCTAGGTTTTTATTTCTAAATTGGATACATTTGTAAATTGGAATTTATTTCCTTTGAATAATTTTTTTACGTATTGAGCTCATTAAAGCGCGCCAACAATTTTTCACACAAACACATTCTCACGAAGTCATACACACAGATTGACTACAGCTTTGAGTAGATTAGATTAGATTTAATAAGGACTATGGGCCATGTTGCCTCCTCCACCTCGACCTTTTCAGATCTATTGTGAATATCTTTTAATCGTTATTTAGAGTACCTTGTCTAATTCGGTCTTTTGTAGTAGACTCCATAGACTAGTTCTTCGACGTAGCTAGTTGCCTTTGGGTTTTCTAGTAAGGAATCTCAGTCTTGATAGATTTTCGTAGTAGCACAGCACGTGTTCTGCAGGTTCCTTCTTTTCTTGACAGAATCGGCACTAGATCTCTTCTGTCAGACCGATATAATACATGTTTGTTAATCCTAAAATGCCCTGGTAATAGGCATAACGGCACTCTAGTATTTTTTTTATTATGGCTTAGTAGATTCTAGGTGAGTTTAGGCGATGGTTCTTTTAAGAACTCTTTGGCCTGTCTCTGCCCTGGTGAATTTTTGTACCAATCACTGTTTTGTGCCTGTTCTGATAGCTGTATCAGTAGGGTCCTGGACCAATAAGAGCCTTTAAGGCTCCTTCTCGGCCTAGTAAATCAGCCTATTCGTTGCCCTTATGTCCTCTGTGGCCTGGTACCTAGGCTAAGGTTAGTCTGCTCTGTTAGGGCTTCCAAACAGTCCCACATAAGCTTTGAGTGTAACTGCATAGAATTGAGTGCTTTTATAACGTCACTTAACTGTCTGAGTATATGACAATGGTTTTTCCATTTACCTTATGTCTTAATACCTCTGTGCCGACGCTACAACGGCTCGGGAACCTCGAGTAGGGTCGCCAAGGACGCAGGACGTGAAAAGATCACTCCTGCAGCTGAAATGGCTAACAAGAGGATCCCTGAACCCGCGAAACCTCATTGGAGGCCCGTCTCCTCAAAGGACAAGGGGAAACAACCCCTGTCCAAGAGAGCAGTGCGTAAAGGCTCCAAAACTAAAGGGAAGGGAAATACAGAAAATAGGAGCAAAAAAAGATCATCCTGCACCACCTCCACCACCTCCACCCCCTCCCCCAATCCCTCCCACTCACTAACAATGGGCAAGCCGATGCTCTTTCTCCAGGCCAATCTCCACCACGCCCAAGCGGCTTTAAACGTCTTTGGCAGGAGGTTTGCCAAGGAGAAACTAGACATCGCTTTTATCCAAGAATCCTGGATTTCCAGCAACGCCCGGATAAGCGGTCTTGGAAAAACTGTTCGGGTAAGTTGGTAGCCGGTAACTCTCCGAACAAACCAAGAGCACGCCCTTATCAGAAATAATATAAAAAAAATGATGTTAACAGGTTACTGCACCCCCGATGTGGTTGCAGCCCAGGTCTCGATCCCGGTGGAGAACAACAGCAAGGATTTAGTAGTCTGCTCTACTTACTTCCCGGGAGACTCAGGTCAATACCAACCCCCTCCTCCAGCGATAGTGCGAGAACTAGTTGCCCATTGCAAGAGGAACAACAAGCAGCTCGTCATTGGGTGCGACGCTAACGCCCACCATAGGAACTGGGGAAGGACTGACATTAATACACGAGGTGAGCAACTTTATAATTATATAATCGGTGAAGGGCTTATTGTTAACAACGTAGGTTCGGAACCAACTTTCGTGACGAAAAATCGTTCGGAAGTTCTGGACATAACAATCAGTACGTCGCCTACCGACTTTAAAGAAGTCTCACCCAATTCAACCATAACCTTTATCATAAGGTGTGACTTGTACGGTGAACTATAAGTTAGTCATGAGCCACAATAGACCCATTTGGGTCGCAGTGAAAGTCGATGAGATCATCCCACTCATTTTCAACCTAACCTAACCTAATACCGCTTTTGAGCAGTGATGTTCTGCTATCATTCTGCCTGGAATACTGCCGCATCTTTATATTTGTGTCTTTGGCTTAGTATTATATGTACCCATTCCTGAACCTTTATGGGTTTTGGAGCCATCTGTATACTAGGTGAATTCGGTGTAAATAGGAGATCCTCCCGTACACGCTTTCCTGTTTGGTATACTTAATTTATATTACTTTTGAAAGTTATACTTTGAAAGCATTCGTCTGAAGGCATTCCAGTTATTTGGTCGTTCTCCAACTCTTTATATAACTCGCTGTAGTCACATCCATGCAGACTACTTATGGGTGATGGACTTTTGTGCAATCTGTATGTGACAGGCCTGGTTTCGCCTAGTGGTGTTAGGTTTAGTATGCCTTTTAGAGCTGCTATTGGAATCGTTCTCACGTCTCCCGTAATACTCAGGCATGATTGCCTTTGAATACTATTGAGCTGTCGAAAATGGCTTCAGCTTACCGAGTCTTTGGCCACAATACCACTCACCCGTAGGTTATCATAGGCCTTATGACTCTGGCATATAACCATAGGAACATTTTCGGTTGTAGTACCCAATTTTTTTATGCAACAAGTTTATTTTATATCAAGGTATTCATGCTAAAACTCAATCTTGCGTTCTCTCAGATTATCGTCTCGTTTTCTAGCACATGTTACGTGTCACCATTTTCTCAGTCTTTCAAAATCACTTTAACTCTATTATCCTACTCCAGCCATATGGCCTGATCCAACTGGACTTCCGCAAAGCTCCGTTACACGTTCCATTAAAACCAGAAGGTTTATTTTTATTTGTTTTCTTTTCGCAACTAGTGATGATTTTTTTCAGTTTCATAATGTTTGACATTATGCATCTGGTTGCGTAAAGTAGATCATTTTGACACTGCGAATCCAAAAAATGTCACTTTATATGTTAAAATTAGAACAAATCTTGTATGTAATACGTTACGAATTGCCTTATTTTATGTAAGGAGTGAATATGAACTGGTTTCATAAATAGCTATTACAGCACTAATCATGTTTTTTGATAGCCACACTTTGTACATCAAAAATAAGTTCAGAATTATGCAATTTAATCTTTGGTTTATGCATATAATCATGTGGGGACTCGTATCTCCCATGCTGATGAAGGGGTTTAAATATCAACACACAATGTTTTTTGTTTTTCCTTTTATATCTCATCGTTATTTTAAATTAACGACTTTTCAAATTAAAAAACAAAAAGAAGTAAGATCAATTATGATAAAATCCGTTAAAGGATCCTGATTGTCCTCTAATGTGATTCCTTTCGAATAATGACATCATTTCCTTCTAATCAGGTTTGATATCAAATTACGAGAATAAGTAAAAGAAAACGAACAGACTGACTAATAACATCGGAACAGTGTTTACCTTCTAAACTAATTCTCTTTGATGTGTCGTTTCGAGATTTTCTTACATCGTCAAAATATTTGTAATTGTTACTGTCAAATGGGGTGTTATCTTCACCTGAAAAAGAGTAAAATTTTATATGGTTGTATTTAAAAAAGAATACGTTGAAATTTTAGAGCAGAAATAAAGAAAACACTATTGGGTCTACAATAACGTAACTCGAAGTTGATTTTGAAAAGTACGATGTACAGGGGGTTATTTTTTATAAATGACCCACATTTTATCATCTTAATTATTGAATATATATTGTAAACAAATATTTAAAATAAAAGTTGTAAGGATATGAGTTTTGTTAAAATGCTATCAAAAACACAGTGGCGTGCATATTTTACGGGATACAATAAAAATATTATTTTAAATAGAGGATATTCTATATATTAAGTTTTTGGAATGACCTTTAAACGTCGCATATCTTAGTTTAGGTATATATTTGTTATTTTTCTCCCTCACTGTTAACCCAATTTGATTATTTTATTAAAGAAATATCACTCTTAAAAAAACATATATTATCAATTTCATAACTTTAATAATGTCAACTTTTCCATGGTTACAGTGACTATGACGTTTAAGTAAGATATTCGAGGATTAATTATTTGAAAACAATATAAGATACGGGCAACATATGATATATTTCTGTAAACAGGAAAGACAAATATTTCCAAAATTTAAAAAAATATATTTTTTTTGTTGCATCCCACGAAATCTGCGCGCCACTGTTTTTGATAGCATTTTATCAAAATTCAGACATACAGCCATAGCCACAAAACTTTTATCTGAACTATTTTTTTTATATGCGATAATAAAAGGGAAAATTTATAATGAATACATCTAGGTCATACTGGAAGGCGAAGTGATCAACCCACTTATTTTCAACCTAACCCTGTACATATTAGTTTTCGTGGACTCGTCTGACTTAGTCTCCTATAATACTGCAGCCTCATTGTATTTAATATATGTCACGCCGTCATCTTTATCCCTTGTACAAGTCCTTGACAGAATGTGATCTACAGGTTCTTTAATCAACCCAGTGTCGGATTGGGTCTACCAGTCCAAAAACCGGTAGGCCCTCGTTCAAGCAGTGGGTCCTCGTTCAGTCAGTGGGCTATTATTTAGTCAGTAGGCCCTTGAGAAGAACAAGGAATCAAATGCGAAGACGTGGCAACCTCGGAAAAAGCATTAGTGTACTTTTTTTGCTCTTAAAAATAGTGTTTAAAAAATAATGTTTAAAAAATAGTGTAGTGTTTAAAAAATGGTGTTTAAAAAGTAGTGTCTAAAAAATAGTGTTTAAAAAATAGTGTCTAAAAAATAGTGTTTAAAAAATAGTGTTTAAAAAATAATGTTTAGTGTTTAAAAAATAGTGTTTAGTGTTTAAAACATAGTGTTAAAAAGTATGTTTGAAATGAAAAAACTTTTAAAACCACCTGTTCTATTTATAATTATTAAACAATATGCAATTAGTTACTTACTTTGCTGTTTTTTATTCGTATGAAGATACTGATTTGGATTAGGAATTCCTAAAACAATAAAAAATATTATTGTTATTTAAATAATTAATATCAAATTAATAAGTAGGAAATATCAAGAGTCTATAACAGGTTAAAAAAGCGGGAAAGTTTAGGCAGTCCTAAAATACTGTTGAGATTGTCCTGAAGTATGTCATCAGATTAAATCAATATTTACTCTTCTCGAAAGATTTCCCTGTAAAAAAACAGAGATCCAGAATATTTTTGCCGATTCCAGCAATAATCCCTTCCGTTCTTATCTATTTTGGACTCTTTCGTGAACTAAACAAACAATAAAGGTATATGTTTCCGTATCTGAAAAGTTGGGAAAGTGGGCTAAGCTCTGCAAGACTTAGGCCTTACTAGGATCATTGTGCATCCTCCACTAGATCCCTCCCCATAAATCGTCATCAGCAGTTCGGTCATTATCCTAAAGGCACGTAAAGAACGAGCCAAAGGATTCCGGCCTGATGGGAGCCTCGATTATGTCTTTTATATTGACAATAGTTTGCCAATAACACAGATAGTCCCTTTCTGCAAATGTCGGAACTCATGAAAGATAAATCCATAAAAGTTTTCCAAATTAAGTTTTCAGCAAATATTCTAAAACTTTTTAATTATAATAATTCTAAAGGCGTATATCGGAAAACGGGAAATAATCCTCTTTATTTCCGTTTTCATTGAAGCTGAGCTTTATGTATTTTCTGTAGGTGTAGATATATTTTTAATATGATTAGTATTACTAATTCTACACGTATGAAAATGTGACTCAGTTTGTTCCTCTAATAATTCAGAAACTTTGATGCTCCGAAGAAATATAAACCGAAGTATATGGCACCGGATTTGCCAGTAACTATTCACATACTTCACTCAAAGAGATTCCATAACGAACCCGTATTTTATTTACGTCTTTTCAGTGATTCAGTTGCGGAATAGCATGAAAAACTTACTATAAACATTTATTGTCCCTTCCATATCTCCAAGAGAATTTTTTGATATACATTTATAAACTCCGTAGTCTTTTGGTTCTAAAATGTTAATTCTAAGCTTCATTGTTACTTTGTATCCCTCTTCGATTATTTCAGGAACAAATTTATTACCTGAAATAGAAAAACAAGTTTGAACAAGTTAAAAAATAATTGGTTTGGAGATAAATTCATTTTTAAGGTATTAAAATAGGTGCTGCAAAAACTTGAATAATTTCATTAAAATGTGCAAATTTCTACAAAGAAAATTTTGAGCTCAAAATATGAAGATTTATCATTTAGACGAAATTTTTGGTATATGTATTATGTATTGTTTACACCTTGTATATCATAATTATGGCTGCAGGATATCGATTTTAATTTTGGTTAACTTAAATTTAGCCGTCTCACTTAAATGTTAAATCGGCTATAACACCTCTACATTTCTCCCTGGCTATGAGAATGCTCTTCGCAAACTATTCTACTTACTATGTGGAATAATTTCTCCAGTGTCCTTAGTCCAATAGTTTATTGACTTTGGAAAAGCTTGCGAGAAACACTCCAGTGTTACTTGCTGATCATCATAGGCGCCAATTAATTGGTACTGAATGTATACTGAGGGAGCAACTGAAACAATAAACAGTTATAGAGATATCGTTTATTGGGACCTAAGAAGATCTATTGTGAACACAAGTTACTATTTAAAGACGTATACATTTGACCTTAACGTTTTATCGAAAAAAGGAACAAATATTTTTTGGAGAACTCATTAAAGTTTTATAAAATAATAATAGTTTGAATATTAGGGAAAAATATTAAATATAAAACGTTTGAGTGGGTAGATTTAGTAGTTCTAATGGAAATTATTGTTAATATTGCTTTCTGGGTTTTGTTATTATTCACTTTCATAAATAATTCCGTGTAGTGACGATCTTTTCTATTTTTTATAAGTTCTTTAAATCATTTTTATTTAATTCAGTAATATCTCAAAAAGTCCTCACAAAGAAAGGGGTGAAAAGGGTACATCTAATTGCACCAAAGCATGAGGAAAATGTAACAGCGGTTGCATGTGGAAATGCTTTGGGACAAGCAATTCCTCCTATGATACTTTTTAAGGGAGTACACCAAAAACCTGAATGGACTGATTACATGCCTCCAGGAACAGTCATGGAAATGATAGCTAAAGGAAGCATGACCACTGCTACTTTCATCAAATGGGTAAATCATTTTAGTAAGTTTAAAGCACCTGGGCGGTGTTTTCTGGTATTCAATGGAGCAGCCTCCCAGTTGGATGCCGGTATTGTTGAGGCTGCTGATGCTGCTAAAGTAACTTTCCTGCAACTTCCAAGCAATACCACGCATGAATTACAACCACTTGATAAATCCGTATTTCGCTCATTCGAAAAATTTTGGGACGAAGAGGTTATAAATTACTGGATGCGTGAACCCGAACGAAAAATTACGAAAGGAAGATTTGGATACATTCTGAGCAAAATTTGGCCGAAGGCAATGTCACCAGAAAATTTAATGTCTGGATTCCGAGCAATAGGCTTATACCCTTTTAATCCAGATGTGATTGAAGAGACTGCGTTTGCACCTAGTTTATTAACAGAAAACCCTCAGCTAAGGGCAGAAGCAGAGGAGGATGAGCATAGTACTTCTGATCCTGACCCTATAACGGATGACTCCGAATGGTCAGATTCCGACGACCTACCGCTCTCGGTTTTGAGACAAAGATAAAATCCTAGACCGAATGAGAAACCAGCTGATTATCAGCAAGTTAATATTCCACATATGTCACCAAAACCATCATGATCACACTGGTCTGATAATGCTGAGAAAGAGCCCCCTTCGCCTAGTGACTTACTCAATTCTTCTAGTTTCTCCGAACGACTCCCAACTCCTGAAATTAAAACCTCAGATAAGCCCAGACGTAAAGCATTGAACTCATCTGCTCAAGTTGTTGCCAGGGACTTATTCAAAACGAATTTGTCAGTCACAATCTCCAAAAAGGGAAAAATGAAAATAAACATGAAGAAACTGTCAGATAAAAAGAAAAACGAAGCTAAAGAATCATGGTATTGTTTCCTTTGCGACAGAGATGAGGTATTGGACATGCGCAAATGCTGTTTATGCTCTGTCTATGTGCTATGTCCTCGTTGTTTGCCTTAGACCATTTTGGATCACCAAAACAGAAGTTAAAGTTTTATTTCTTGTATTATCATTTAATAAAAATTATTTTCCTGTATAATTCAAGTTATTTTAAATATTTGTTAAAAACAACATGATCCAAATAAGGCCAATGGCAACCCTCTTTGTTTTATGGAATAACCACCACTCGTATAAAAAAAAAATTGGGGTTATTATTTAAGTAATAGAAACACAATAATTTAAACATACGTGACTCTTGTTGGGTTTGGTGAATAATTTCAAAAAAAAAATTAAATTTCTTAACGTGGCCTTATTTGGGTCAGGTACCTTATAATATTTCCTTAGATGCGATCCTGTGTTGTTGAGATCCACCCTAATATTATAATACATTTAGGCACACGCAGGAGCAATGTTATTCCACACAGAAGACAAAATATACCTACATCAAATCAAGAAACAATAACAAGGAGAACCCTGCCAACTGCAAACCTATTACCTATCCACATGCACCGTACAAAATATGTATTATCACTTAAAATGTCTAGAATAGAAACTCATTCTATAAAAATTGAAAAAAGCGAAACAACAGTGTTTACTGTGATAAAAATCAATTATAATCACAAAAACATCAAACAAACTTACTGAATTAACCCCCTTTTCCATTCAGTACTGAAAAATAACGAGAAAGATTTTATTTTTATTGCATATCGAAAATTTTACTTTTTTTATATACAATTTTTTTAAAAATTTGAACAGATATTATTTAAATATATTAAGATTCACAAAAAATTTGATATTTAAATTCTAAAAAAAAAAAAATTATATAAAGTCAAATAAGTAACTCTTTTTATTAAAAAATATGAGCATAATTATTGACTGTTATATAAACCCTATCAGAATAAAAAAACAACAGGATAGTTGTTTTTTATTTCGTAATTTTACGAAGCAGTGCTTCATTTATACACTCCTAATATGAATATTGTCCTAAACCAGAGGTTCCTAAACTCTTTTATTTCATAAACCACTTTCAAAATTTTGCTGGATCCGGTGGCTACATCACTACCAATTTCTAAATCTCGAAAAAAAGGTGAAGATTAGATCTATCTATGGAAACTTGCGTTGTGGCTGAGTTTTAACGACGAATTAACAGTTTTCGAAAAAAAAGTTTAGAATTGATAGCTTGATAGGGTTAATTATTTGATAATAAAGTCGACTAAACAAATTTTCAATTAAATTTTAATTGATTGTGCTGTGAGTGGATGTCAAAAAAGCAAAGTTGGTCAAACGAAAAAGTGATTCCATCCAACTTTACTTTTTTGAAATCTACATTGACTCACAGCACAAGAACCAATCAATTTCACAAATTTTATTTAGAAAACGTCCCATTCGGAGTGGTAAAAAGAAATATAGTATATTTCCTTGTGTTGACGGTATTTATTTAAATTTAAACACATAAATTATTACACTGTTAATTATTATTGTTATAACACTTATAACACTTATAACGTAATATAATTTCTACAATGGAAATTACAAAAAAAAATATAATTTTAATGAGAGGGATGCACTTGATGGATTGACAGCAAATTATCAATATTTGGCTTGAGTTTTGTAAGTAATAACCGTAAATCTCCCTTTTCTGTGATATTCAACCTGCTCCTTTTTTTTGTTAATAAGTTTGTAACAGCACTAAAACTTTTTTCGACGAGATATGACGAGGGAAACGCTATCAGAAGCTTTTGCACAATTCCCCACAGTCCAGGATATTTTTCGGGTATTTCTGCCTGCAGCCAAAATTTTTGATACCCTCTTTTAAATGTCACTTTTTCAGCTCCTCATTAGTGCTAAGCTCGAGTAGCTCCTCCTGTAATATCACATTTTCCACTTCCGTTTCATCAAATGGATTTATGATCCATGGTGGAATTTCCATCGACAGAATATCTTCAAATCTGAATTTAAAATCATCATACAGGGCAATCAAATGTTGAATGTATGTCTGAATATCTTCATCAAGGCATTCTACCTGCGACAAGTTTGAAAACTGTGAAAATTCGCGCCGACCAATATTTTCCTTCATAAATTTCAATTTACCAAGAAAAGCTGAAATTACACTCTTTGTTTTTATTAAATTGAGGCTGTCCCCTTGTAATTGTAAGTTGAGGTCATTTAATTTTTTGAACAAATCTGTCAAATACGCGATGTCTGCTTTAAAATTGATCAAGTTTTTTTTTTTAAATCAGGATCTTTACTTTCCAAAAACTGTAAAACTGAGTCGAAAAGTAAATAAAATAAAATAACGACACTTTTTATCAGGAGGATCTGAATTGCCTGCCATCATGACCTGCCTCCGTTCAGTCGCACTACTGTACTTATTATTAACAAGATACATTTGAGTCATGGAGTAAAACAAATACAATAAATGTAGAATCACGGTAGAATTGCTAAATTTGACCTCATCGCAAGTTGTCAGAACATTTAGCTTAATGCGCATGATCCGTGCAACCCACATCTTACTGTCGCGACACTCGTAAATTTAGCAGCTTCAGTATCAAATTTAGTAGATTTTTGACATTTGTTCAGTAGAAATTTATTTTTGGTGTTGGCAACACTGCTGTATACTGTACGAGTTTGTTCTCTTAATTCGACAACACTCTGTATAATATTTTAAGTATCATTAGTCATACCTTTTTCTCTAACCGTTACTATTTATGTTTAACTATAAATCTTTTTGAAAATTATTTCTGTTGAAGAACTATCAAAATTTTAAATTAATGATCCTGTGCATCCACCAAATTTTACAAAAATAATAAATGCGTTATTGGTAGCTCGTCTACTAAAAATAAAATGTACGCCAAAATGATCAATAGAATTTTATTAATAACGATATAAAAAATCCGATTAAATTTTTGATTCAGTATAAGAATCGAATAACTAACTCAAATCTTTTCCATGCGGTTGTACGAAAAGTTAATTGATTTTAAATAGTGGATAGCGTGAGTGAGATGGGAATTTTTTTCCAGAATTTCTTCTAAATATGGGTGTGGGAAAAATCTATTTATAAATATCGCTTAGCTCAAAATTACAGACGTCCGTGCAGAAGAAAAAGCAAATATAAAAAGAATGTAGATTATGAGGTAGATATAAACAAATTTCTTTTCTTAATGTGTTATTGACCGGACTGTATCGTGGTATCATTATGCTTATGAATATGCATCAACGCATGGGAACAGAACAATAATTTCGATTTTTCATAAATTGTGATAAACAATCTTTTGTGAAACTAATGTTTTTAGCAAAAATAGGAACAATATAGTTCAACTGGTCCTCCACACTGCTATATAGTGTAATAAAAAAGGTGTTTTTTATAATTTTGTAATAGCGGCAACTGACAAAATGATATACTTTACGTATCTAGTTCTTTATGTCACTAGTTGCGAAAAGAAAAGAAAAATATTAATTTCTTCGTTTATAATCAA